CAATTCATTCTTTGCCTGGTTTTACTGTTCAACTGTGTACAGTTCATCTATTCATGGTAGGGGGCTGAACAGATTCTGGTCTAACATAGAAGGTTACCATGGGGCATTGCTGATATTAGTATCTGCTAGCTCTGGAAATATTGATGGGAGTGATTCTTCTGCCAACAGATGGGTCATTGGTGTACTTACAGAGCAAGGCTTTGAGAATAAAGATCAATTCTATGGAAGCTCTGGGCATCTCTATGCTCTAAGCCCTATCTTCCATGTGTTCTCGCCTCATGGTATGCAAATGAGGTTGTTTTTCTTTATGCTAGTGCTTCAACTCTGAAGCTGATGAGTAGAAATCTGACTGATTAACAGGGAAGGAAAAGAACTTTGTATATAGCCACTTGCACCGTGGTAGAGTATATGATCCACATCCAAAGCCTGAAGGTATCGGATTTGGAGGAACGATTGGGAATGAGAGAGTATTTATTGATGAGGGTTTTGCTCGAGTTACAGTTCGCCATCATGCAGTTGACAAGACTTACCAACCTGGTTCACTTGTTCCGAATCAGGTACGACACTATTAAAATGACGTAGCTCACGAACGAGTCTTTTTCTGTTTCATTTTTGACACAAACGAGATCATTTGAAATATAACAGTTACGTATAAAAAAAATAGTAGGTGGGTTCTTGATATTTAAGAAATATCTTGCAGACTGTTCGGTGTTTAATGACAATATTCTGCTTATATCAAATTGAATGTTGAGTCAATTTAAAGGTTTCTGGATATTTAAGAAATGGCTTCTGAACTGTTCAGGGTTATCTTCCACTTGAAGCTTCCGTCCTGGATGTGGAAGTATGGGGATTGGGTGGGCAAATGGCCAAGAAAGAGCAGAATGCCTTTCAGAACAGGGAGCAACTTTTTACCGAGCAGAGACGCAAGGTCAGTTAATTAGATTTTGGTGCCTATTATTATTTCATCTTTGTCAAATTAATGGCTGGACATAACACGATCATCCCTTACTTTCTGAATGTAGGTTGACTTGAAAACCTTGGGTAATTGGGAAGATTCTCCCGAGAAGATGATGATGGGCATGGTCTCTGATCCCAATAAACCTCAAAGGGAAGAACGTTAGCTTGATGGATTTTGATCTCATGGATAAATCGGGTGACAAAACAATGGATTCGGTTGTAACATATTGTGTAGATGTTAAACTGTTCGCACTGAGTGTAAATATGTAAAAGTAAAGAACCTTTGGTACCATGTAAACTGTTCCATGAATAAACTGATTTTCAAGGCAAGCAATCAGTCTGATTGCAAACGCTTATAATGAGCTTTTCTGACATTTATCTGTTTTGTCTGTGTTGGACATAATAGGTTGTTGAATGATTATGTACTGAAATAGATTTAATCATTGTAATGAGCTTGATTTATGACTGCGGAGCCAACCCCAGGTAAATAGATATAACACATCAGTACATGCTGCCTATGGAAATCTTCTGTTGGGGTGCAGTAGCGCAATCTGACTTACCTATGGATAAAGGTTCTGTCTAAATTTGGTGATAGCAATCTTAGATAAACCCTCTAATGGTGGTGAATTGGTGATAACTGACAAAGAAGTCTAGGTTGAGATATGCACAAAGTGAAGTTATGGAAGTTTACTTAGTGTGAGCACTATGTTATATTGATATTGGTGTAAAAATCATACAATAATCACATTTCATTATTGCTAGTTCATTTGGTGAATCCATCTTTTTAGTGACTTTTGTTTGAGGAGGGTGAAAGCTCTGAATGCTGAAGAAAAGTTAAAAACCTTTTGAATCTTGCCAAAGTTTGGAATGCTGGATTGGATTTCAAAGATGGTCCACTAGTGGTCCAAGTTGGTCACAAGACACAAGAAGTTCAAACTTCAAACATAGTACTGCTTATCTTGTTAAAAATCAAAATGATCTTAGCTTACGCTAAAACACTTAACATGCAGGTGTATAAACTACTAATTAATAGCAGAACAAACTCTGCGAATCTCGCCTTGTGTACCAGTCTTCACTTCTATATTACTCATCTTCACCATTGATCTTCCAAACTCATAATCAAACCTCAACCCAAATAAACCTCTAAGGGAACCTTCAAAGCGTCGTACATATTGTTGTGTGGAACTATCAGTCCATAACTTCTGGTCAGATTCAAGTATTCCCCTTCCATTCCTCAAGTTTGTAAAGAATGAAGTGTCGAATTTATTCTGGCTGCCAGTGTCTAGTGCTACACGCCTGTTTCCATCACCGTTTTGTGGACAAAGAGCACGTAATTGAGGAAGAAAAGAAGTGTCGATTGTGCTGTCTGGACCGGTTGCTGTGAAGTTGTTTAGTCTGTAACTGAAGAATTGGCAAGCTGAAGTCCCAATGGTATGTGCTCCTATATAGTAACAAATTCCAGTATTATGTTAGTAATAATAGATCTTGAATAAACCCTTACACAGACTATTAGCTAGTATATTAAGGTCTTCAAAATTTACCAACTAGAGTCACAAGATCCTGAGTGTTGAGGTTCTTAGCTGCAAATTTCTGATTCTGTACATCGACGGAGTCAGTGAAGCCAGGAAGATTAGAAGTATCGCTAGCCAATGAGACACGACCATCTCTACGCCCAGTTGGAACTTGCCAACTTTGTCCACGAGTCTGCAAGAATTAGACAGTATATATATATATCCATTAGTATATATATTTGGTTTAATAATTTCATTTTGTTCTGTCAATATTTTTTGCACTTACCGCAACCACTGAATCTCTTGCAGCTAAAGCAAGAATATCAGCACAAGATACTACTCCAGGACATGCATCTTCAAGTTGTGTTTTGGCATCTTCAATTACATCGTATCCCCTTAACAAAAGATTAGGTCCTGCAGTTTTCTCAGTGTTAGGTCCATCAATAAGAATAGATCCATCACACCCTTGAACAAAGCAGTCATGAAAATGCATTCTAAGTAACCCTGGAGCAATGGAAGGATCTGAACTGAAATGGGATTGAACTGTTTTACTAACAATGGATTCGACTTGTGGGCATGTTCCTTTATAGAATCCAATACTAGTTCCCTGTCCATGAACAGAGATGATGGTAGTAGCTAAGGTAAGCAGTAGGACATAGAGAGAAAGAACAATGTAGTTATAAAACCCCTTCATTATATTGAATAAGACTAGAATGATATGAATGAAGTAGAAAGGTGGTGAAGGAGTTTGAACTTTGAAGTGAAGTAATGATGATGAGATTTGATAGAGCAAGGTATTAAGTATTTATAGGAATAGAAAAGGAAGTAGAAGTTCTTAAAGTCAAAACACAAAAGCAAGCAAAAGCTGGCTCATGAGACTGGATCAATGTTGTGCAAAATTTAGCAAAAGAAAATGATAGGATCAACGCGGATTGATTGAGGGTGGCTAAATTAAAAAAAAATAATTATGTCTATATTATTGTTCATGGTGGTATACTATACACTGTCCATACCACTAATCTTGTCATTATCTTAACTTGTAGTTTTGTTTTTCTGATAATTAAACTAATTAGCTTCTACTTTTGCTGTTCAAGTGTAAAACTTAAAAGTACACTGTTATATCTTACATTTATTAATTGGTTATACCTCTTCATTAGCTAAACCAAATTAGCTGGTTATTCATCAATATATATAAGACATTTATTCCAATGAGTTTGAATTACAGATCGGAGTACAAAGGAATTCTACTAGCAAGCAACGCGCAAATATAATGGTCTGTAATTTTTAGAGTACAGTGTACAATCGTAAAATATATCTTAAACGCGATACACTTAGTCTTAGCCAATAGACATGGTGGATGTAACTACTTCATTATCAGCACTTATATATAGTTAAAAGGCGGCGTAAAATCAGATAATGCAACCTAATTAGCTAATGCTTGATGATATGATAATAATGAACATGCAGGTCTACATCATATACTAGCGCAGGCGCAGGCGTATGCGCACTTTTAGTATAAAACAATATACTCAATTGCCAGAATAACGCGTTTGTGGAAAACACACTACTGAACAGAGATCAACTATCATTTTGGCAATTGGATAACGAGTTGTCAGTCACCGAATTGAACTATTTGAAACAAGGCGACTTTGATGAATACTTTTGATTTTTGTAATTGGTGTTGAAGACAAAGATAACAGATTACAAAAAGACATGCTAACGTATGATAAGATTGATGTAATTAAAGAATGAAATTAATATCATATTCTCAAGATTTGCTTGCTTCTTCCATCTTCCATCTTCCATGCCATTGTTTCCTGGTTCTGTTTTGAGTATGTTATATACATCAGTATCATTGTTAGAAGTTTGTTATACAATAATATATATAATAATTGTGCTTGGTTTTCATGTCTGCATTTATGATTCAAACAATCATTTCAGTTCAACAAATGGGTTTCAGCATTGTCATGTATGTAGGTCCTTAGCGGGTCAGCTTATTGGCTTGTTGGAATTGGTCTGTATCAGTTTTATTTTTGCAGACTTTCTAATGTACTTGGGGACAAGTTTCAAGTGTCTATCATTCAAAGCTTCAAAATTGCACTTGTTGGGGTTTTTCTGCATGCCTGTGATACACGTGGGCGCGCTCCTCTTCCGACCATTTTCATGCGTAGACTTTAGATCCCATTTAGATCAATATTTGAATCGGATGACTCTGGACTAAATTTATTTATCTATTTGTTTAGTGTTGACAATATATCTCTGTCCATTACTAAGTTGTCAAACATGAAAAAACCACTCTAATCTATATTCTATACTAGTAGTATTCTGCCTAACCCAACTCAAGTGAACTACCCAACTGCTCTTTTTTTCTAGAAAATGGTCTTGAACTTGTCAAATGTCAATGTCAGACTATGATGCAAAATTCAATGAAAAGAATCTATCTAACGAAGTAGTGGTCTTTAGTCCCACATCACTGCGAAAGTGATAGAGATGAGTGTAAATAAGAGTGCAAAAAGAAGTAATCATAACAAGGAGTCACAGGACGAAGTGGATGGATCAAGGCCTTGCAAGCTCAAAAGGCTTGTGGGCCAGGATTCAGGAAAGTCCCCGGGCCTTAATCCGTAGAAATTACGGGCTCGGAAACGAGTTCTACTTCAAGCGTGGTAATCAGTTCATCTCTTTGAGATGAGGGGCTGAGACGTGTGTGGAGCCTTTGGTGCTGCCTGAAGTATATTTGCCGAAATTCACAGTTATCCACTTGGTCCTTAATGGACTAACTGAACGGGGATTATGATCCTGTGACTCCAACCTTTTTTTTTTAATTTTCTTTTATCTAAATGCATACAGAGTGAACAATAATATATAAAAAGGACCAATGCCGCGGCACGAGAATAAATTTAGATTACAAGAAACATATATATATATAAGAGACAGTAGACAACATAATCAATGGATGAATGGAGATAACGGGTTGATTTCAGTAACCTTGACCAAACAGAATGCGAAATGGTGTCATACTGTCATGGTGCACCATTAGGTCTTGATATGTAGCAACTGGAGGGAACTTATGTGCGGCTTCTCTTTGCCATCTTTGAATGATATCCCTTCGCTTTGCCATCTTTAACCTACCAAGTCAGGATTTAAGTTATAAGTGGGCAAATTTAAAGAAGATAAGCAGCAGTTGTTACATTGCCTTTTACAGCCTATGAATTAGTTGAAAGAATCTTCCAAGTTGTCTAAATGCAATACATGCATGGTTCAAGGTGTCTCAAAAGACACTAGATGTAAAATTAGCTTACTTTGGGAATGCATAATCAACTGGTTAGGAGATGGCTTCCTCAACCTAGACGAACATTATTATTCTGATCCCACTGTACATCGATGAAATACCACAAGTCAGGGTTCCTTTGTCATATAGTTCAACTCAGAGGAGAAATCTTTGAAATGAACCCTTGCCTGTTTAAGTACGAGATTAACCTGTTAGGAAATGATATGATATTGAACTATCTTACAGAAAAATATTTAATATAACAAACTTACATATAAAAAGTTTAAAATACAAGTAACAAGTGAATTCTATCGCAAAAAATACAAATCCAGAACATTACATCCAAATTACCATTTCCCTTCAGACATATTTGTTGAATATCAGAATAAACCCATTGCAAGGCATATCCTTGCAGAACCATAAAGAAAAGGCTTAGGAAAAATTTGGACTCCAGAGATAAAGGGCATGCGTCAACTCAACAAAGTCTAAAGTTACAGGATACGTAGAACATCTAATATTATGAAGATTGACACATGAACATGCTTCTAAAGAAGTCCTTTTTTTGTCAGAAGTAGTCACTATACAAAATGGTCGCTTTGGTAAAACTGCAAACATCAAACTCACACATTACAAGTTTGCAACAGAATGTCCTCTAAACAACACAATTTTACAACCTGAACGGGCAACACAAAATGAAGATTATCTTCAGAGATGGTAGCCATAACCTACTAAGAAACAGATAACTTTAGCATTACACACACACACAAACAAGTTATAGGGATTCAGTGATTCACAACAATAAGTTTTCCACCTCCATGGCATTACTTGCTGGACAAACAGCTAACAAGCAATATTCATCTGCAAACCCTTTTCAGGTAAAAATAGTTCAAGACTATTTTTCTTTGACAAATCCTAAGAGTTGCAATCAAATACAAGTTATAATTGTTGAAATTTATAAACATGTACGAAAGAGGTATATAGGTTTTCTGAATCAAGCTGCAGATAATTTCTCTAAGATAAACAAATATTACGCGGAGTTGCAAAATCTTTTACCTTGTTATCATTCTCCCTCATGCATACTTTAGCAGAGAGAAGCAGAAACATCCTTTTCCATTTCTTCTTTATAGCATAACAATGTACAACTTGTAGA